CTGGGGAATTTGTCCTGCCTTGAAACATGCTATTCCTCAACTATCTTGCCAAAAATGTTGACCAGTTTGTTAACTGGAGACAGAATGATTACTGTGAGTTGTTGCCTAACCCAATATTATTTCTTTGGCTGTTGTATAGCTATAGAAACATTTCTCCTTGCAGCAATGTCTTATGACCGTTACTTGGCAATATGTAGACCTTTGTTTTATACTTCTATTATGAACAGGAGGTTTTGTTTCCAGCTTATAGCTGGGGCATGGATAAATGGTTTGATAGTTAATAGCATTGTTGTGTTTCTGCTAGCCCAACTTTCTTTCTGTGGATCCAATATAATAGACCATTACCTTTGTGACTTAACTCCATTGGAAAAACTGACTTGCAGAGATCCTACACTATTTAAACTCATTGTTCTTCTCTTGTCCTTCATCTTTACAATTCCTCCATTTTTGCTGACCTTCAGTTCTTACATTTCCATCATTGCCAGCATCATAACAATCCAATCTACCATTGGAAGGCAAAAAGCTTTTTCAACCTGCTCTTCTCATCTCATGGTGGTCTGTCTTTTTTATGGCACTTTAATCATTGTCTATATGTTCCGAGACACCCCCACCATGAGATACCTCAATAAAGTCTTCTCTATTTTTTATACAATCCTGACTCCTTTGGCCAATCCCCTCATCTACACTTTAAGAAATAAAGAAGTTCACAAAGCCTTAAGGCGGGTTCTTATGAAATTTACAATTGTTTTAGGAAACTGTCCTTAGAATTCTTTCTTTGCCTTTGGTAGTGAACGCAGGTGTGAACCCAGAAACAATCATCTTTTTGCAGCCAGAGCTACTCATCTAGATCTGGAGTTTTTGTTTCTTCCATGACTGCAAGGAAGATAGTGATGGGGTTGACTTCAATTGTCTATTCTGTAATTTTCCCATGACATTTTATAATTGTTACATTGAACTTTACACATTGACTTATCTTTTCAATTTGGCAATACATTTTCCAGATATCCAAAAATCAGCAATTTTGTGTTTCAGAAATGTAATATGGATTTGCCTTGTGGCACATCTAGATTGAGCTGAGAACTTCCATGTTGTTAGCTTAACCCTACTCCATAAACTGATGCTGTTAAGCTTTCTTAGATTTCTCTAAATCAACAGGAGTAGGAGATTTTGACTTGTATCCCTGAAGTAAATGGTACTAGCAGTTAGTGCCACTAAGCTAAATCTAAAAATTTCCTGCTCTAAATTGCCTAATTTTACTGTATATCCATAAGATGTTAATATAGAACTATCTCAATCCTTTAACATATTATTAAATCTAACCATATAAACCATCTATTGCTCCATCTTCTCAGTTTTAGTGCGATATGTTATTTTGATATGATGATATTTATATGAAGTGCTTAGATTCTTAATATTCTATTATGTAAGTGCCTTAGAGTATTAAACGTAGATAAAGAGAAGAAAAGGAGGAAAAAAAGTGGATGTTATAATTTCCTATGCAATTCTGACTCCAAATAGGTAATTCATTTATCCAAAATATTATGATTGGCTTGAGTTATATTCCCATGAGCATTTAAATGATCCTCATAGCAAACCATTTTTTCTTGCATTATTTTTAAATCATCTTTAAGCTCTGCCAGATCTTGTTGCATTGGCTTCAAAAGTTGTACCTGAGCCAGGATCTCTTTTAATAAAGTAGCAAAAGAATCCTCCTCCTCTGCCATCTTGCCTGGCTTGGCAGATAGTGGCGTAGTTGAAATTGAGGCAGCTGTTGAATGCTTAGGTCTAGTTGCCATTCCAATAGCTTGTTAAAACAAAATAATATGTAATAAAACATTTTATTTACCGAATGACGAAAGTTGTTATCCACGCAGCCTGATAATACAGAAGTTTGAAAGCCTTTTAATCAGGAAATAAGAGACGTGTGTTCACCATGGCATCTTAAACAGGAAGTTATGGCTTTCTAACATTGTTTCTCAGCTTTATCTCCAACTTTAGACCCATGATTCTCATGTATCTAAACTCTTTGAACAAATAAACCTTTGTTTTTGTTTTCTAGGGATATGTCCCAGTACACATTTTTCACATAAAGCAGGTGCATCCTGTGGGAAACATCTCCCATTTCTTTTATTATAACTTAACAATGCACACTAAAATTACCAAAAAGCTAAAGTTTAACAATGCATATTAAAATTACCAAATATGAAGGAACTTTGACAAAACATGCCTTTCTCACAGAGCATTTATTTTATAAAAATGCTGTTGGCAGTACAAAACAATATATGTCCATTGGGAGGACATCCCACTTATTTCAGTTTGATTTATTTCCAGGTAAGGACTATGGTTCTCAGAACAGGATTGTGCAGAGGCAAACTAACAGCATGCAGAATGAAGTGGTCACTTAAAGTGACAATACAACCAAGTTTTGTACAATACAGGCTACCTTGTCCATTATTGGACTCACTGACCCCAATTCCATTGAATAAATCAAAAGGGGTGGCATCACGTCCTTTTTCTCAGACATGAAGTTCTGAACTTTTGCAAGG